ACTCACTCTGAGATCACTTCTCACATAGAGACAGACACCATCATCACTTTCCTTTTCACCCTGTCTCTCTGAAAGAGAGCATAGCCAGGAATAGCCCAGCCATGTGAAGAATGAAGCCAAGATTCAGCAATACAAATTAAATCATAGCTCTCTTCATGCATGAAAGCAAATCATCTTTAGTATATAGGTTGCACCCAAATGAAAAGTCAGCCCATACTTTAGAAACTCAAATCCTTCCCTATTACACCAGACCTTTAGCCATGCATTGTTCTCTAATCTCCCCCTGTCTTTCCTGAGTTGTGCATGGCACAGGCAATATTTCTGAAATATCACCTGGTGGAGGTCCTTCCCTTCAACTTGCAGCCTAGTTCTTTAAATTGATTCTTAAGGAGCCTCCACCTTCCATGTATTCTGTCATTGGTTCCAATATGGACCAAGAAAGCTGGGTCATGCCCAGCCCCACCCAGTAATTTATCAACCCAGTCCACCAAATGCCGAACAATGGCACCAGGGAGACAGCAAACCATTCGTCCTTTTGATTATAGAATCCCTCTATTACTACCAACTGTCTAAGCCTTCCTGCACTACCCTCACCACCTCTCCTAGATGGTCTGCTCTCTCGGCTTTTAGGGATAGCAGAAACACATCAGCCATTTGACCACATTGACAGTGGGAACACCTTGCCTGCCATTGTGGCCATCGTCATTTTGCAATGATTTTTAGATATAAGCTTCGTCTGTGAGTATGTTTTTATCTTTCACTCCTTTCAATAAACCTTGGGTAATGCACTAGGTGTGTGCGCCACCTGTTTTTTCTTTATCTTTTTTTTTTTTTTATTTTACAGGTATAAAAAGGGATGCTAGCGTGGCAGTACTACACACATTATTAAGTGGCAAGTGTGTTCTATTACTGATAAGTGGCGCACATGACGTAAGCGAGTCCAGAGACTGTTAATCAAGATGGCAGATAACAGTGAGTGCATAGAACACCATGATGAAGTTTCTTGTAAACCAAGGCATAAAACCTGCAGATATCTACAGAAGACTTCAAGCACAGTACAGTGATGAGACGCTCAGCCTCAGTAAGACATTTGATTGGTGTAAATGTTTCAAAGATGGCCATATGTCTGTCAGTGACAATCCCGGCCGTGGTGATTCCAAGGCCACAGCAGCCATTCCTGTAAACATTAAGTGCATGGAGCGCCTTAACCTGGATAATTGACACATAACCTGTTGTGAAATTGAACAAGAGACAAATCTTTCTGTGGGAACGATGAACACGATTACAAACTGAAGCAGGCTGTCCTAGGATGGTTCAGGTGCAGTAACAAATCATTCTATGCTGAAGCTTTCCAGGCATTAGTTAAACTCTGTGATAAGTGTATAAATGTAGCAGGGAAGTAAGTTGAAAAATAAATGCAGTTTCCACTCCTTGAAATTTGTTCTTTTATTATATAAACTCAAAAGTCCCACTTTGACTTGAACGTCCCTCGTGGGTAATGTCAGGAATACTTTGCTGTCGGTATGTGCATGAACTGGTACATTGCCTTTCACACAGGTGAATATTTCCTGCCTTACATATTGACCAATTGGTGGCATGCCACACAATGACTTTGGAACTCTCCAAAATATTTTGTATTTACAGAAATAAAACAGAATAACTGCTTTATTTCATTGCACCCTTGTGTAGTGCTAAATCTAGAAATTTCACAGTGACATAGCTGACATGGCATAACAGAAACAGTATAGGTAGTAAATGCTGCAAGACTTATGTCCCTTCTGGGACCCATCTCTGTCTCTTGTTGGATAATTTCCTTCTTTTCATTCCTTCTTGCAGAAATTAAATAATCTTTATTTTGTATTTATTAACTAAAACAAGTTTTTACAGCTTACATCAAACCCAATTTGATTCTGCGCTTAGATAAAAAATAAGTGAATGAGTGGCTAGAACAGGTAAAAGATACCAAACCACAATACACATTATACAAAAGTCCAGCGCTAAAAGGTAAACATTAAAAACATTCTTTTCTGATGGTTGGAAACACATCCATCACAAATATTTAATAGTGTGGACATTTTACACCTTGCATGCCTGTAACACTTGTATGTAGACAGAGTGACAGATAGTGTGTTGGAGAAGAACATATGCTGTTTGCATACTTTTAACCTTCACCTCAGTTACAGATATTTCATTTAAAGGATCCATTATGCTTCTTCTGTTAGATCCTATATATGAACTTTGCTTATTTAAATCTTGGATCAGCTTGTACCAAGAAGTCCTACCGACACTTACTGCTTTTGCATGAGTGCGTAAAATGTAATTGAAGGGACAGCTAATCTGTCTTCAAAGGCAATTTTGTATTATATCCAGTTGTAAGAGGTCTGAGAACTCAAGACTCAGTTACAGGGGGATTCACAACCCCAAGACCAATTAGAGCAGCACAGAGATTGTCTACCTCTAGTGCCCCCAAGTCACCAGACACCAGAACCCTAATCCCTAAGTCATCCAGAGATTAACCAGTGGATTTGTGAACCATCACCCACTACATCACCTTCATGGACACAGAGCAATATTTAGCAAGGCCAACTCAAGCCAAGTGCAACAAGTGCTCTGTTTCTTGGACTTGTCTCAGTGGCATAGAGTAGCATATTGCGAACACTTTTAGCCCAATAACAGAATGTCCAGTGGAGAATGATGTTTTTGTGCAAAAATAAGGTCTTTTTCCAATGTATTAAACATACAAAGAAATTTAACATGCAGTTCACTAGAGGAGTAGAAACTGATCCCAGGGGGAACACAGCAGATGATTCCCCAGGAGGTGAGCAACGTTTTCTACTCACATAGTAATATATTGGTTGCAGTTCTCTGAAACACGACTAGGTGTCCCCTCACTTTATTCCTTCACCAAAAGAATGCCTAACACCCACTTACCCCCCACCTCCACCATTCTCACACTACCATAACTACTCCTGCCTTCATCTACTACAGAGTGGCAGTCCAGTGATCAACAGCAGAATGGGCATATCCTACATCTAAAAGGAACCTAGAATCTTACAGTAAGTGCAGTTTCTAAAATTTAGAAGTACAATCCTCTATTAATATGTTAAATATTTTTTTTCCCATCAACAGTGGTACTGTACTTTAAGGCATGATACTAGGATGCAATGCCCATAATGTACCACACATTTGTTTTACTTGGCGAAGGCAAAAAGAGTGCTAGTAACATATATTGTTCTCTGATGTAGTTAAATGGTGCAATGCATCTATTTGTTGCACAATTATTTACTGCAAGGTCCAGTTACTGTATATTGTGTGGCCAGGATGCTTTCCATGCAATATGTGTGCACAGTAACTTGCTTTTCAAAACCTCATTCTGTCAGTTTCAATTTGATCTACTGTACATGGACTGTATGCTGTATGTCCCACATGTCAACAACACCAAATATGTCTGAATGATCGGTAGTGCATGTGAGGTTTAGAATTGTATGAATGTATGTAAAATTCATACGGTCTCTATCAAGAATAATATGTCCTACACATAATGGTAGCTGCCAATGGGCTGCTATCATGCAGCATGTGCATTGCTTGGTTATTACACAGTAAAGGCACAGAAAAACCTCATAACACCTGTCAACAGCACCACCAAAATATGTCTGAATAACTGGTAGTGCATTTGAGATTTAGAATTGTATGAATGTGTGTAAAATTCATACAGTCTCTATCAAGAATAGTATGTCCTACACATAATGGTAGCTGCCAATGGGCTGCCATCATGCAGCATGTGCAATGCTTGGTTATTACACAGTAAAGGCACAGAAAACCTCATAACACCTGTCAACAGCACCAAATATGTCTGAATAACTGGTAGTGCATTTGAGATTTAGAATTGTATGAATGTGTGTAAAATTCATACAGTCTCTATCAAGAATAGTATGTCCTACACATAATGGTAGCTGCCAATGGGCTGCCATCATGCAGCATGTGCATTGCTTAGTTATTGCACAGTAAGGACAGAAAAACATATGGGCAGCAAAAGGCTATTACTCGTAATACCTGTTAACATGGTTGTAGATAGCAGGTTTTGGAAAGCACAAAAATAAGAAATGATTCTAAAATGCTTTGCTTATTCTTACAAATGTAAGTAATTGCTATAGCACAGAAGTGTACTGTAACTTGTAATAGAAGTCAGTGGAAACACTTCCAACATTTCTGTACAGCATTTTTTCATTCTTTTGGAAACATCTGATGCTTATTTTCTATTACTTTGGATAAACAGTTTCTATTGTTAGCTTCTGACAGTTGTCAAAAATGCCTTGCAATTTTTTTTTAACATGTCAAAATCTCATGTCAACCCCCAATAAATACATAGGGCATTTGGTGAGCTCTGTAACAGCACTGATAACAAACACTCATGTGAATTAGCCCTAACTAATCATTACAATCAATGTTAGAAATGTGCAGATTGCACAAAATAACATTCTCTAGATAGTACATACATATCCATTCACATGCATACAAATGATCGTGTAGGAAAGTGTAAATGATCCAGACTATCAATGCTTCAGGCTGCTGTACACACTTATAGGACCGCTATAACAACCCATTACCAAAAATGCACTTCCTGGCGTTTGAACTCTCTTCATTTAAGTTAGAAGGGTCAGTAATAGGGTTTTTTCTTATGTGGGAACCCCTTCATATAAAAGGCAGGGATCCCAGCAGCCTTTTGTCAGTGTGTTGGAGTAGATAGGGAGAACTTGTGGTGCTTGCAGTTAGATATAGTTGTGCATACAATGCTCTACACCATGCTTTACAATGTTATACACAGTATTGTATTGCACTACATTTTTTTGCAAATCCCCCCCCCATAAATATATATATATATATATATATATATATATATATATACACTATATGGACAAAAGTATTGGGACACCCCTCCAAATCACTGGATTCAGGAATTCCAATCACCTCCATAGCCACAGGTGTATAAAATCAAGCACCCAGGCATTCAGACTGCTTCTACAAACATTTGTGAAAGAATGGGTTGCTCTCAGGAGCTCAGTGAATTCAATCATGGCACCGTGATAGATTGCCACCTGTGCAATTTGTCCATACATAAAATTTTCTTGCTACTAAATATTCCCTGGTCAACTGTTAACTTTATTATAACAAAATGGAAGCAACTGAGAACAACAGCAACTCAGCCACATAAAATGACAGAGCGCACAGTGCGCAGAAATAGCCAAATAGATAAAGACCTCCAAACTTCATGTGGCCTTCAGATTAGCACAACAACAGTGCATAGAGAGCTTCATGGAATGAGTTTCCATGGCCGAGCAGCTGCATCCAAGCCTTACATCACCAAGTGCAATGCAAAGGGTAGGATGCAGTGGTATAAAGCACGCTGCCACTGGAGCGATGGAGACGTGTTCTCTGGAGTGACAAATCACACTTCTCTGTCTAGCAATCCGATGGACGTGTCTGGGTTTGGCAGTTGCCAGGAGAACGGTACTTGCCTGACTGCATTGTGCCAAGTGTAAAGTTTTGTGGAGAAGGAATTAAAGTGTGGGGTTGTTTTCAGGGGTTGCTCTTGGCCCCCTAGTTCCAGTGAAGGGGAACCCTTAAGGCATCAGCATACCAAAACATTTTGGACAATTTCATGCTCCCAACTTTGTGGGAACAGTTTGGGGATGGCCCCTTCTTGTTCCAACATGACTGCGCACCAGTGCACAAACAAAGGTCCATAAAGACATGGATGAGCAAGTTTGGGGTGAAGGAACTTGCCTGGCCTGCACAGAGTCCTGACCTCAACCTGATAGAACACCTTTGGGATGAACTAGAGCAAAGACTGTGAGCCAGGCCTTCTCATCTGACATCAGTGCCTGACCTCACAAATGCGCTTCTGGAAGAATGGTCAAACATTCCCATAGACACACTCCTAAACCTTGTGGACAGCCTTCCCAGAAAAGTTGAAGCTGTTATAGCTGCAAATGGTGGGCCAACTCAATATTAAACCCTACGGACTAAGACTGGGATGCCATTAAATTTCATGTGCATGTAAAGACAGGTGTACCAATACTTTTGGCAATATAGTGTATGTATGTAAAAAAAAATGTAAAAAATGTGTATATATATATATATATATATATATATATATATATATACACACACACAGTTTTTTTCAAAATAATACCAGTGTGTTGAAAAAAGTGAATAAAGCTCAAAATCCTTCTAATAGCTTTTATTTCCATATACACAAATGCATTGGGAACACTACACATTCTATTCCAAATCAAAACATGAAGAAAAATATATCAAATTTGTGTTGTTCCTCTAAAAAAAATTGAAGAAAAGTGAATATTAGAAAAAAAAAATAGCAGTGTTTGTATTCTTCTTTACAAACTCAAACATTCACTATATAAACTGAAAAATGTTTGAAGTTTTTGCTTTCCTTTGGATCACTTAATTAATATTTCGTTGTATAAGCACTGTTTCTGAGAAGTGCTGTACATCTGTTTTGCATGGAGTCAACCAACTTCTGGCACCTGTGAACAGGTATTCCAGCCCAGGATGATTGGACTACATTCCACAGTTCTCTATTTCTTGGTTTTGCCTCAGAAACTGCATTTTTGATGTCACCCCACAAGTTTTCTATTGGATTAAGATCCGGGGATTGGGCTGGCCACTCCATAACGTCAATCTTGTTGGTCTGGAACCGAGATGTTGCACATTTACTGGTGTGTTTGGGGTTGTTGTCTTGTTGGAACACCCATTTCAAGGGCATTTCCTCTTCAGCATAAGGCAGCATGACCTCTTCAAGTATTCTGATGTATTCAAACTGATCCATGATCCCTGGTATGCGATAAATAGGCCCAACATCATAGTATGAGAAACATCCCCATATCATGATGCTTGTGCAACCATGCTTCACTGTCTTCACAGTGTACTGTGGCTTGAATTCAGTGTTTGGGGGTTGTCTGACAAACTGTCGCCGGCCACTAGACCCAAAAAGAACAATCTTACCTTCATCAATCCACAAAATGTTGCGCCATTTCTCTTTAGGCCAGTCAATGTGCTCTTTGGCAAATTGTAACCTCTTCAGCATGTCTTTCTTTTTAACAGTGGGACTTTGCGGGGGCTTCTTGCAGATAGCTTGGCTTCACATATGCGTCTTCTAATTGTAACAGTACTCACAGGTAACCTTAGACCTTCTTTGATCTTCCTGGAGCTGATTGTTGGCTGAGTCCTTGCCATTTGGCTATTCTTCTATCCATTCGATGAGTTGTTTTTCACTTTCTTCCATGTCTTTCAGGTTTTGGTTGTGATTTTAAAGCATTTGCGATCATTTTAGCTGAGCAGCCAATCATTTTCTGCACTTCTTTATATGTTTTCCCCTCTCCAATCAACTTTTTAATCAAGGTACGCTGTTCTTCCGAACAATGTCTGGAACGACCCATTTTCCTCAGAATTTCAGAGAGAAATGCACTGTAACCAGCATGTACAACATTTGCTGCCTTCCTTCCTTAAATAAGGGCAATAATTGTTACCTGTTTTTTAAAGAATGAATGACCTCACTAATAGAACTCCACACTGCTATTATTTTGAAAATGCCCCTTTCAGTTAGTGATTCAATTACACAGAATCAGTAGCATGCATATTATGACTGTTGGGTCTGTTGGATTTCTATTACTCTACTACACCTGCTAGTAAATTATTTGCCATGTAGAAATATCATTTCTACCAAAAACAGTGATTGATCAGGTTAGTGATGTCTGACTGCTATTATTTTGAACACAATTGTATTTAGCTATTGTCTTTGAAATACGGTAATATACTCTAATTTTTGTTTTATTAAAAAAAATTGCCTAATCTTTCCCTCTTACATATTGTCCTAATTAACCTGCTTACATACTTTACAATATTTATGGAGATTGTCTCTGATAAAATAAACTCTAAATTGTATTGCATGGTAAAAACTGCCTTATCTCTTCCCTTTTTATTGTGGCTGCCTAATTAAGCTACTTACATACTGTGCACTGACCACAATATTTGTGGCTATTGTCTCTGAAATAATATACTCCAATTTTTATTTCATTACAAAATCTTACTGGTCTTTTCCTCTTATATTGTTGTGACCTAATCAAGTTGCTTACATTCTGTGCAGATACTATACTATATGTGTGGCTATTGTCTCTGTCTCTACAATATTACACTCTAATTTTATTTCATAATAAATTTTGTCTAATCTTTCATTTATTTACAGCAACCTAATCAAGCTACTTACATGCTGTACTCTCCAGCTACTGCACTACATGTGTGGCAGTTGTCTCTGGAATAATACACTGATTTTTATTTCATGCTAAAAACTCCCTTGTCTCTCTTACATTGCTGCCTAATAAAACTGTGTATGTACATTGCAGCAACTGTACATCATTTCTGGTTATTGTCTATGAAATAAAAAACTCAAACTTTTCTTTCAGGAAAAACTGCCTTGTTTCTAGAATGTGGAGTTGTGGGTTTTGACGTTTTCTGTGCACTCTGTTATGATGTTTTAATAAACTTTTAAGAAAATACAATGTGGTATTGCAAATAAAGAAACTCAAAAACAATACAATGAAACTGTTTTGCCACTGACCATTTGGTATAAAATTAGGTCTTTAACATAATTTTAATACTACGTTTTCTTATAGCCTTGAATGAATTGTGTCTGCCATTTCCATTGTGCTATTCAGGCCTATTACTGTTTGGATTAAAAAAAATCAAGTGCTGCAGCCAAAACTGCCTAAAAAAGCATTTTTTTCAAATGGTAAAAAATCAAATTGGGGTGCTGATGCCAAGCAATAATGTAAAAGTAAAAAAATCTATTACGCATGTCAACTTTTTCATGCCAGAATACTTTGTTACTGATGCTATCTGTGAGCATCTTACTGCTCCATAACACCACATACAGCCTAAAGGCTTCATGCAAGCATGTCATTTAAAGGATTGGTCAGTTTTCCCATGTTGCAAGCATGGTTTGAAGAAAAGGAGGACACTCTTCCCACATTATGGTGTTTTTTCATTTTAGTATATGTCTCCCATGGCAGTGCCCAGCTCCCCATGCCTTCTGTTTAACAATCCCTTGTGTATTAGACTTAAAATGATCAGAAATTATTTTCAAGATTGCAAAGACTTCAATGGGGTTTAGGTTTAAGATTAAAATGTTCAGAATTTACAATATGTTTGACCAATTCACCCCCCCCCCCGGCCCCCGAAAACCAGACCAAGACAATTTTACTCATCCCTGCACAGCAAAAAATGACATCACATAACGGTCCATTCACGTAAATACCATGATATTGCCTCATTCTCATGGCCCTTAGCTGCCATAGTGGACAAGGTCTCCCAAGCACAAATAAAATGTAGCCTGATAATACTGAAAGTGTTGGAGATCTGTTAAAGCCAAGCCCTTTCTATTTCAAAACTGCTGTTCCTAGAGGATCAATAGTTAGAAAGTAATGAACTGGAAAAAGATTTACATTATTACGTCTGACCAGACATGTTGAAAACTGGATTGCCATTGGTTACTGCAAATGTTGATTGGCACTGTACTATAGAGAAGAACAGCAAACATAAAACAGAACAGAACAACGTGGCTTACAGTGGAGGAAGATACATGTACTGTATGTAGTCATAGTATTTTTACAAACACAGAAAACCTCCCTTAGAACCAGAAGTTACAATATGTTCCTATTTAACATTATGATATACAAGGTGCACATTACAGTTGTGAACATGAAGAAATAATAAAATAGCCTTTTCTGTTATCAAATACTGTTTGACTGTGTTCTCATATTTATCATGGGCAGCAATAATGACTAATGCTCATTAGCAACCCATATGGAAGAAAAATATATTTAAAACACATTTTAAAAATATTCTTCCCAAATATATTGATATATGTTTGAAATGCTACAATTTTGGCCACATTCAATATATTTCAAAATATATTTCAATAAATATATTTATCTAGGGCACTGTGTGGAGATTCTGAGGGAGAAACAGTATAGACTTAGGAAGGTTCATGCTCATTCATAATTTAGCCCAAGTCATATATCCATTTTTCTTTACATCATAGTAAAGTCGGGCAGTTAGAATGGGTGAGTAGAGTACAATGTACTTCGGATAACAGAGCCTTCTTACATTTAGCTATAGGTGGGATCAGGCCTATTTTGTGGATGGTATAGTTATAGCATAGTTATAGTGGGGGAAGTACAATACCTGAGCAGCCCAATATCTCTTTACTGCCAATATCTTTGGACACATGAAATTTATTTTCTGTAGAAAAAGAATGTGGGGTTATGGGCCTTGAGGAATTCAGGCATGCAGCAAGCTTCCTTTCTAGAATTAAGGCTCCGGATGTTCCAGAAAATAATATAAGTAGAAATGCACCGCATCTGAGCACGCAAACCAAAAATGCTATTTAATTAATTGTTCGTAAACAATCCATCCATGTCTCCATGCTTTATTTTTGCTGAGAAATCATTTTGAAAAACACCCC